TAATTCGAATTGTACCCTTACCAATAACATTGCAAGCGGCATTATTGCCCATCAAAACAATTCCACCATTATAAAATTCATAAGTGGAAAATAAATCTCTATTGGGACAGATGTGATAAGAGCACCCCGAATCTAAAATTCATTCATTTTTAGACCTTGTCCTGTCATCAGTCACAAAGAAAATACTTCCTTCATTCTCATCAGCTGCAACACCAGCTTCAGCAGTCTCAAAATTTTTCTCACCAGGTTTCCCCTTTTGTTTCAATTTATTTTTCAATTTGAAACAATCTGCCTTAATGTGCCCCATTTTATGATAATAATTACACTCCATATTTCTATGTCTGGATTTAAATCTAGATTTAGATCTACTTTTATCAAACTCTCTTATCTCAGTTCTGCCCCTAACAACCAAACCTTCTGCATGGCCTCCATTAAAATTTTCAATAATATCCCTATCTATCTGCTCCTTAGATTTTAATACAGATTTAATTTCTCGATATTAAATTATTTCTTTTCCATAAATCATAGTATTACGAAAATGTTTAAAAGATTGGGGAAGGGAACACAAAAGTAATAGGGCCTGATCCTCATCATCAATTTTTGAATCTATATTTCCCAAATCCATAATAATGAAATCAAATTTATCAAAATGTGAGAGTATAGATGTACCTTCAGTCATGCGAAACATATACAAACTTTGCTTTAAATAAAGCCGATTCTCAACTGTTTTCTTCATGTACAAGATCTTAAGTTTGTCCCACATGGCCTTTGCCGAAGTCTTAGTGGCTACCTCCCGCAAAACCTCGTCAGAGAGATTTAGGATAATATTGGACCTTTCCTTCTTATCCATCTTAGCAAAATTTGCATCTGTCACACCCTCTGGCTTTTTCTCAATTCCGTGTATCGCTAGATCAACTCCGTCTTGAACCAAAATGGCCTCCATCTTGAGTTGCCACATCTCGAAATTGACATTCCTTTTAAATTTTTCGACGACAGTCTTTGTTATTGCCATTGTTGCCACAAAATCCAAAGCTTCCGAAGAATCTCTGATACCAGTTTGTTAGGTCTGGCTCCAGGAAATTGACGAAAAGATTTTTGGCAACCCCAAAAGACAAATAACAAAGCAGAAATAAATAAAACAGAAACACAAGAATTTACGTAGTTCGGTCAAATTGACCTACGTCCACGGGCGAAGGAGAAGCAATATTTTACTATGAAAAAGAGAGTACAAAAGATGCCTTAGAAAAGTGTTCCTAAGCTTAAAACACCTAATACTAAAAACACAAGAGAACCCAAAGATATTTAACTAAACAAAAGACTTAATGACCCAAAGGCCCAAATAGCCCACTAATGCTCTCTTGGTTTTGGTGCACTTAACCCCATCACAAGCCCACTATATTTATAGGCAATCAAGGGAAAGGTTCCCTTATACAAAAGCTGATGTGGGACAATGCCACACTAACAATATGAAATAGAGAAGAGGCCAAATATAGCTATATCCATCTCTGACAAATTGGGTAAAGTGCACAGCGATTTGAAGCAAACCATATACAGCATGGTGGTCAAACGCAATGTCGGAGTCCGACGAAGATAATGGCACTAACCCATTTATTGAATTGTGGTTACTTGTAGGCTCAAAAATAAACAATCATAATCGAAGAAAGAAATTATTTGTAAAGTTTGTATATGAGGACTATATGATAAAATGATGAGCAATTATGTGATGGCCAATCATTGTGTTTATGTGTTTGTACAAAAAGCAATGCAATAGTTACATTAGTTTGGTATGAGTGCACATGTGCAAATTTCGTTACTTTGTCATCGGGTCTTAGAGAGTATGCATTGCCTAGATATGATTTATGAGTAAATCACACTACAAGAAAAAAGGTCATTAGTGACAACATTTCTTTGTGATGACAAAAAGTCGTCACAAAATGAGGTTGTTTAGTCACGACTTTGAAGGTTGTCACAATTGACTCAAAGCAACTGAGTTTTTAGTGACAACCTTTAATTGTCGTCACAAAACTACTTCGCGCCACGGGACTTGGAAGGCTCGAGTTTTGCGATAGTGACGACTTGATAAAAGTTGTCAGTAATTCTACCACTTTCTTTGACAACTTTACATTGTTGTCACTGTTTATGTTTATTGACGACCAATTTTTGTCAATAAAACTATAGTGTAGTTAGTGACAACATAAGTATCATCACTAACTTGAACATCTCTAATGCATTTATTTAATTGTGAGCCTCAATATTAATTTAATTTTTTTAAAATTTTATGATTTATTAACTATGACTTTATTTAATTGTGAGCCTCAATATTAATTTAATTTTTTTTTAAATTTGATGATTTATTAAACTAGTCAGAGTTACTTAAATATTAATTTAATTTTTTTAAGTTTGATAATTTATTAAACTAGTCATAGTTACTCAATAAGTTTTTAACTGAAAAAAATTAATGAAAGTTTTTAATTAGAACAACTATATAAACTATTACAATTAGAACTCAAGGCCTCTAAATTCAAATACCTTAATTTTGGGTACTGTCAATGCCTCCTTGACATCTAATTGGTCGAATGTTGAAACTCATTAAGTACAAATTCATTTTGATGAAAAGCGGAATTAGTTGTGTTATATAAGTTAATTAATGAGATCAGGACTACTAATTACTGCAATTCCTTCAAATTTAATGTTGATTTGCTAAAAGTCAAAACGAATACATATTTTTCTTACAAATCAATACGTATACTATAGTTTCGTGCAAGTTTACATTCATGATTCTTCAATATAAAACATCTAAAAAATATAGTACTATTAGACAAAACTAACAAAATTTTCTAGAAACTGATAGAAAGTTCTTAACACATAATTAAGATTTTTCTTTTTTCATGTTTAAAAATAATGAATTATTTCTTAAAATAATATGAAAGTAGATTCCCGATTTAGTATACTTAATTAAAATGTTTAATTTAATACAAAGAAAATAACCTTTCTTTGAGAATCTAAATAAAAAGATAAAACTAAAAATTGGATCAAATTTTTCGATCAAAATGAAAAAGAAACAGCGGGAATTGAAAATTGGTGGAGGCATTCTTTAAAAAGCAAATTTCAAAATGAAAGAGTACAAGTCTACCACTTTTGGGCTAAGTCTGATACACTTCTAATTCTCACATTTTCACTCGCTGGCCTTCTCACTGTCTCTCTCGGTCTCTCTCTCACTTCGACCCCTCTCAATTTCTTTCTCACTAATGCTCGAGCATTCCTCCTTATTGGGCTACTGATTTTGATATGTTTCCTCAGAGCATGTGCTGTAAAAAGGCAAGTTTCTCTCTTCTTGCTTAGTAATCAATTTCCCCCAATTTTTATTGACCCGATTTTGTGTTCCCAACATTCAATTTTTGGGTAAATTCTCTTCTTCTCTATCATTTGTCTAGTTTCCCCAAAGTTTCTTACCCTAATTAGCAATCACCATCATTTGCAATCACCTTTTCTACCCTACTTAGATGATCAATTGTTTCAATTTCTCCCCAAATTTTATTGCCCTAATTTTTTTAAAAAAAAAATTTTCTGCCCAGGACAAGGAGGGCATCCCCGGGACCAGCAGCACCTCATCTTCACTGGCAAGCAGCTCGAGGACAGCCGCACCCTAGTCGACTGCAACATCCAGAAGGAGTCAGCCCTCCACCTTGTCCTCCACCTCGACGGTGGCGCCAAGAAGCGCAAGAAGAACACCTGCACCAAGCCGGCGGTGACTGAGGGAAATTCCCCCCCTCTTTTTTATAAACTTTATTGTTACTAGTCTAATTGAACATTAGCAGCATGTTCTTATTTTGAAGATTTGGGTATGTTACTGCAAATCGTTGAGTTATTGAACCATTTGCATCATGAGCTGTGCCTCGTTAACTTGCTTATTTGTGAGTTGTGTTATAGAGGTTTCTGTGGGAAGCTTGTCGAGACACTACTTTAATCATCTTGATGGTAGCTGCGGCTGCTTCTTTGGCCCTTGGGATAAAGACAGAGGTAAGCTTAATTTTTGAGTTTGCTCTAATTATTATTATTATTATTTTAATTTTAAGGATAAGTTCACTCTTAATACTTATTTTGAATTGAGAATTGTAAGCCCTATAAAGTTTTTTCTGTTTAATAATTTTGTTGTACTACTATATGTTTGAGATCATGATTTTGTTAGTTGTATGAATTTTAAATCTTGTCTTTTGATTTTCTGACAAGAATGGTATCTGTCCCTATCAAATTCTTATAGATTAAAGTATTTTTTAATATACTTGTGATTTACTAGCTAATCTGAGTGGAAAATGGAAAATGCTGACATGTTTTGATTGGTTAATTTTGATTTGGTCTTGCCATAGTCTAATATGTTGTTTTCCAGGGTATAAAAGAAGGATGGTATGATGGTGGAAGTATTGCGTTGGCTGTCTTTATCGTCATTGTTGTAACAGGTATTATGACAAGTTTAGCAAAGAAAGTTGGTACAATGTGTGGTTAATTAATGACCAGAAATGCAGTTAATTTCGATTCTGTGGAGAACTGAATGAAATGTATTACATCCCCCCCTGTTGGAAGTGCTCTATCTTTGTGTAAATGTGCGCACTCACAAATCGACTCTCATTTCCTTTGTTTCCATTTATTTATTTTTTTAGAAATCTGGAAAAGTTGCTCCAAATCATTGCATTTGTACTTTGCCTTAAAAGCTGTATATTAGCTATGGATGTAGTCCTGCAAGTTAAGATACTGTAGACTTTTTTTTTCTGCTAACTTATAAATTCATTCTAGAACACAAACCTCTAAGGTTGCATCTCAAGTCTAAAGTGTTGCATCTGGTGACTGAGAAATCTGGTGATAGAGTTCTAAGGCTGCATCTCAAGTCTACTTAAGGACTTGTACTAGTATCATTTTGGAAGAGCTTGGTAAGAGGACCAAAACTCATCAATTAGTTTTGATGTGAAAAAAGATCTTCCTCCGTAAAAATTCATGAACTAGGAATGTTATTAGAACAGCATGGACAGCTTCTTATGGTATGTTTTGAGAGTCCATGATTCTCCAGAATATACTTGTTAGCCTTACTTGTGCTGAATTTCACATGTTTCACTATTTTTTAAGGGCAAAGGTGCTTTGGCCAAAATGTTTTGCTTGCAAATGTGTTGACCACATTTACTTCTCTGCCTAGTATGTTCCTTTTGTTAAGTTTACAAGGGAGAGGTCAATCCTCTTAAACAGAAACAAAACATAGGGTCGCAGCCCCTAAAATATTTGCACCACGCAATTCACTAAGTTCCTGTGGTGGTTCTGTTACAATCTGCATCCCAGATTCTTTGTTGACACTACTTTTAGCTAGCTAGTCTGCACACTTACTTCTTTCTCCAAACATGTTGTAGCCAGGATTCCCGATCCCTGCTTAAAACATTCCTGATCTGACATATTAGATTGTATAGTGGTGAGTCCTGTCCTGCTCCTTGTATTAGTTCGAAAGCTGCCTTGCAATTCGTGTCCAGAATCACTCTTCTTTCTCCAGAGTTCCAAGCCATTTTTATCCTTTTGAGTACTCCCCACAGCTCTGCTAAGTGCTATCATATTATCTATTAGCCCAATATTCACTATAAAACCTGTTTTCCATCTCCCCCAGCTATCTATATGTCCCTTTTCAAATTAATATGGCTTTGCCTCTTCTACTTGGAATAATGCTAAATTGAGAAGTGTACATCTTGCCACAGTTAATTGCTAATTATTGATAGTTTCACGTCTTACATGGTAGTTTGTTTTCCATATAGCATTATTTTATACTGTATAATCACAAACTTTTTGCTGGATGTAGGTTGGATTTTCTGTTAACGGAGTAATAATACTAACTTTTATGTGGGTTTTGAAGGCATTCCTTGAGGTAATACCTTGTCTTTTCACATGAATGGTTCCCATTTTTGGTGCCATTCTTGAAGTAAATTTCACTGTGAATGTTTTGCAATGTCCCGCCACTTGCCTAACTCACTAGTTTGATTGGAATACAATATTAAGGGGTGCTGGTTTTCTATGGAATTAATACACCATGACAAACAGCAAAAGTAATTTCAGAGATCTAGAACAAGAAAGTTGTTATTTGCTTTTAAATGGCAAAGAAACATTCTAGTTATGTTGGTACACATTGCTCCTACTTGACACCTTATATCATGATCGACATTACTTTGGTTATCATACTTGACACCTTGTATCCTCTGTGGTGCATTAGTTTGGATTGTTTTGGTTTAGTTTAGTTTAGTTTATTTGAATGTTTTAGCTAAGCAAGTGAACTGAAGTTGCTTTTCCTTTAGTGTTGTGCTTATCGTCTTATCAACTGGTTATATTGTTCATAGCAGTACTTATATCAGTACTTGTTATAGTAGTGCTTGTTGCCTTATCAACTTGTTATATCATTCCTTTGAGGCTGAAGTTTAATAGCAGTACTTATTTCTTGAGCTAATTTGGTACATTAGTTTGGGGCTGATTTTGATTTTCTTTGGGGCTGATTTTGATTTTGATTTTGAATGTCTTAGGACGATGGAAGGTAACTTTGGTCCGGATCTTCTTGGCTTTCTTCTTAAAAGTTGTCCCAGATTTGACAAATTTGGCAACCTTGGCTGCCTGAGCCTTTGTATCAAGCTTTTTTGTGGTGTCAGCTTTAGGAGCCATATGCTGAAAACTGCCTTACAAATCTTTTACCTGAGGGGAGGAGCGGAGTGTTGAGGGGAGGAGCTGAGTGTTGCTGAAGCGGCTCTGTGTTGAAATTTGGGACTTGGATTTGTTTTGTAAAGCTACCTCGAGTTATATGTGAAATTTAGGCCAAATACCACTTATCAAACTATCTATAGGGTGTTGTTGAACTTCATTATGATATTTGAATGCTTATATGATATTTTGACATTTCGTAATGCAATGGATGCATTCATTTGCTAATTATAAATCATTGTCATTTTTTTCCATTTATAGATATAATTGTTGTAGGAAAATTTTCAATTTTCATGGTGATAAAGAGTTATCATTGAATCAGAATTTTCCATTAATAACAATCTGCGGTCATAAAATTAAAAAGTGTTTAGTGACAACAAAAGTCGTCAGTAATTAGTCTATACCAATGACAATTACATATCACTTTTAGTGACGACATTTATTTGTACATCATTGACAAGATACTATGTCATCACTAAAATTACAATAATTATTGACGACATCAGTTGTCACAAAAGAGTTCCATTCACTGACGACTTTTATTGTCGTCACTATATACTTTTACCGACGGGCCTTCAGTGACGACTCTGTGACAACTAGAAAGTTGTCAATAAAAGTTATCAGTGACGACTTTTTATTTTTTTGTGACAAAAATGGCTTGTCACTGAAGACCAAATTTCTTGTAGTTTTGAGAGTCCATGATTCTCCAGAATATACTTGTTAGCCTTACTTGTGCTGAATTTCACATGTTTCACTATTTTTTAAGGGCAAAGGTGCTTTGGCCAAAATGTTTTGCTTGCAAATGTGTTGACCACATTTACTTCTCTGCCTAGTATGTTCCTTTTGTTAAGTTTACAAGGGAGAGGTCAATCCTCTTAAACAGAAACAAAACATAGGGTCGCAGCCCCTAAAATATTTGCACCACGCAATTCACTAAGTTCCTGTGGTGGTTCTGTTACAATCTGCATCCCAGATTCTTTGTTGACACTACTTTTAGCTAGCTAGTCTGCACACTTACTTCTTTCTCCAAACATGTTGTAGCCAGGATTCCCGATCCCTGCTTAAAACATTCCTGATCTGACATATTAGATTGTATAGTGGTGAGTCCTGTCCTGCTCCTTGTATTAGTTCGAAAGCTGCCTTGCAATTCGTGTCCAGAATCACTCTTCTTTCTCCAGAGTTCCAAGCCATTTTTATCCTTTTGAGTACTCCCCACAGCTCTGCTAAGTGCTATCATATTATCTATTAGCCCAATATTCACTATAAAACCTGTTTTCCATCTCCCCCAGCTATCTATATGTCCCTTTTCAAATTAATATGGCTTTGCCTCTTCTACTTGGAATAATGCTAAATTGAGAAGTGTACATCTTGCCACAGTTAATTGCTAATTATTGATAGTTTCACGTCTTACATGGTAGTTTGTTTTCCATATAGCATTATTTTATACTGTATAATCACAAACTTTTTGCTGGATGTAGGTTGGATTTTCTGTTAACGGAGTAATAATACTAACTTTTATGTGGGTTTTGAAGGCATTCCTTGAGGTAATACCTTGTCTTTTCACATGAATGGTTCCCATTTTTGGTGCCATTCTTGAAGTAAATTTCACTGTGAATGTTTTGCAATGTCCCGCCACTTGCCTAACTCACTAGTTTGATTGGAATACAATATTAAGGGGTGCTGGTTAAAATTAGCCACGCCTCATAAGAAAATTCCCACACAATTTAATTGAACTCAAAGACATTTATCTCTTACTAATAATTAAAAATAAGAATTATATTCTCTGTAGTCTAATACAATAAAAATAGTCTCATGGAAGAGACGGAAGAAAACAAGACACGCAAGAAATCTTCACCCCAAAACTAAAAACTCCTCTTCCCAGACGGAAGAGAAGAAGAAAAACTGAGCTCTGGAAATGTGCGGCTCTCCCACATATAAAAACAAGCCAATTCGAAACTTCACTCCACGCTTACAAAAGAAAACATTCCTTCCCTACCTAATCAACTCCACCGAAAACAAAAGCAAAGCCAACTATGGTTTGTCGGTTTCCTTTGACCAAGTGCACACGTTCACAAATAAGAAAGCAAACCAAAAATGTGTCTTTACACAATGGTCAAGTCTTCGCGGTCCCCACCTAATTGAGATGTTGGCCAGCCAAATGCAATTCAATTCCTTTTCATCATAGAAAGAAATGGACGTTGGTTTACACCATGCATATGGGCCAATTGTATAGAGTTTCACAATAATGTTCTCAAGAAGGTTTCTGCTCCATTTTAATTTGCGGTCCCCACCAATTTGTCTAGCCAAATTGAATTCCCAAATGCAATTCCATTCTTCTTCGTTGGTTTGCACCAAAATTGTGTAAAGCTTCACAATAATCTTCTCAAGAGGTTTCTGCTCCAATTTCTGAAATTATATCCAAATACCAAATATAAATATATATTGACAATTAAAGCAAATTAAAGCAATATTTGGCAAGGATAAAAAGGAAAATTAACAATAAAATTACTAACAATTAACACCCTATCAGTGCATGTTTACTTGTACTTCACTTGAAATTTGTTGCCTACATGAACTCTACTTGAACTTGTTGTTATATGAACTATACTTGTTGAGGGAAGTGTGTACTTTACCGCACTTCATCTCCTTTACTTGGATCAATACATGACTTGCTACATGAATTACATGAAATTACTAGATTTTACATGTACATGACCTGAAGTCGAATGCAAAGAAAATCTCATCGACTAAAACTTGATTTGTTTCTGAAAACCTGACCTGTGGGGACGCCCAAACCCAATGGTTAAACCTCGTAATGTCGCAGCCAATTGTGAGGTCTTGGTCAGGAAAACTTGGTAAACCTTGGGACCTGAAGCTTGATCTTTTGAGATCTTGCTTGGCATACTTGTATAGTATCGCCTTTACATGCCTGTTGGTTACGGATCCGAGAGGGTGAAATGATGGATGGAGGGAAGTAAGTGGAGATCTACAGATTGGATATTTATTCGGTTGACAGAGTGTCAACCCTTGGTTCATGGATCGGGACTATGGCAAATAATCTGAAAATGAGCTCCGGAGAGCTCCAGTATCCTTGAATTGTTTGTGTTTATGAGTACTTGCCGATACTTGAAACTACATGACAATTACTTTTGATCACTTGATCATGTTACTTGAACTACGTGCGCATGTTATATATATGTGGCCTCACTGAGCGATTGTTCACCCCATTAGTTGTTTTCCTTAACAGGAATCTGGATCGGAGATGTTTTGAAGAGATCGACTTGTTTTTGATATTTTAGAACTTTGGAAATGAAATTCAAGGGCTGGTTATGGACTTGTATTTTGGAAATCTGAATGTATATATTGGATTCTTGTGTTGTAAGTTTGAATATATTGAAGGAAACGAATTTTATTTAATTTGCCCTTTTAGCCATTAATTGCTCGTTAGTTTAAGTATAAATGGGCCTGAGTCCTGACGAGATCTAGGCAGGTGTGCCGCCGATACCCTTGGGTATGCTCTTGGGAGAAGTGGGGGCGTCACAATATTCATGTTACAAGCCAAACTGATTGACATTCACTATAGCAGCCCAAAATGAACTCTCATTGCATATTTAGCTAAAGTCTTCTTAAATTAATATCTATCATTATCATTACTATATAAAAAGTATGAATGTTGGTATTAGGGAGTGCAAGTGTAAGCACTTTTTTATCTTAGTTTTTGTTATTCCTAAATTACCCTCATGTCTTTTAATTATAATTATTGCATTTTAAGTGGCACTAATTAAAAGAAATAAAACACTTCAATTGATTACATTTTAATGGTATTGGTAATTATAATTAAAAATTCCTCATTAAAAACTATTTATCTACCCTTGGACTCCATCTCCTATTATTATACGTATCAAAATTTCTTAATTGAAGCATGAAAAATTTCTCATTAGTCATTAGTTGAGATTGTTAAAAAAAATCAATTTAAAAAAAAGATATTCTCTAGAAAATGGAGAAACATACAATGACAAGCAAAACCCTTATTTATCTGTATATCTTCACACAAATATCATGAGTCAATTTTACAATTATGCACTTTTACCAATATGAAGAATTTTTCATGTTGCACCCAATAAAATTTCAATATACAAAAAATGATGACACCTTTATAACTGAAATAGCAGTATTAAACTTAAAAAAGAAATCTAAAATAGCACCATACAAACCACTATTATCATTAATAGCAACCAATCAAAACAAGAAAAACTAAAATAAGATTGAAAACTATTTATAAAATGACATAAAGTAAATAGAAAATGAATTAAAAAGTTAGAATACAATTCAAATAATACCAAAGACAACATCCAAATCACTAATATCCAAGGAAAGACAAACATTGTTATTGACAATAATATAGTAATACTTCATTTGTATTGGTTTGAACAAACCAAATCCATCCATCAAGTCAGAAACCATCTCCAATGATAAAATAAGAATTATAATAAGAGTACATATAAAATGAAGAATGATAAAATGAAAATGATATCCAAATTGTTTTTGGTGATATCCAAAATACCCTTATTTTTCTAATGATTACATATATTTATTGTATTGCAATATTAGTGAATAATGGAAGCGATTATGAAATGAAAAGCTTTAAAATTAAGTAAATTCCATTTATGGTGACAATTGTAATTAGACAGATTTAATGCATTCCAATAATTGATAATAATGATAGCGGTTATGGATTAAAAGTTGGCAATTAAAAACTAAAACACTGCAATATACAAAAAATTAATATTAATATTATTAATTAGCCACAATTCTCATTCCAATTTCATGATCATCAAAAAAACTAATATTAAAATAAAAATATTGTCCTCATATGAAAAAAGTAGACTTGTTGCTCTTGCTTCGCATTGGATTGTGCTAAAAACATGAATAAAAGAAAAGGAAAATAGAAAAACTCCAACTATCTCTATCTATAAAATTTTAATTGTTAGAATATACAAGCCAAAAAAACTTTACGTGGTGGATCATTTATACTCCATTATTGACAAAAATAGAACTAACATAATACAAAGAATTCAAATTACATGTATGTTTATTTTTCTAACTTAATTATATTCTTCGTTTATAAAAAATTGTGATGATTGTGGTTTATATGCAATAGAGTCATGAATATACAATAATTTTGGTAAAACATGATATTATCAATATTTGATATGTTAGAGTTCAAGCTATAAATCAAAAAGTGTTTGGTTCATGATTTCAAATTCAAACTTAAGGGATATGTCAACTATATTGAAATGTTTTCTGTTTCTTTTCATTTAATAAAATTTTTAAAAGTAACTAGCTTAAAAAATAAATAACATAAAAATACTATATTATGATGTTGATGATCAAAATTTCATAAAAAAATTTAGTATCTGAAAAATAATATATTTTAAGATATTACAATCACGTGCAAAGCACGTGAACTATTACTAGTCAACCTTAAATGCATAAAAGATGCCCCCACAACATCTTCTTCCCTTCGTAAATTAGAACAATTTGGTTAGACGCAATTCACCATACAAAAGAATAACTTTTTCCTTCAAAAACTACTGTGGAATAATCTTCTTAAGTATTGAGCAACTCAGAACCTTATTCAAGGTTAGGCTTAACAGCTGTTAAGGCATAGAATTTCCGGGAATGAGGACATTCAAAAGATTTAGCAGCTTTATTTGAGTTTTCTTCACTTCTATTGGGCACATCGATTTCCAAATTGTCTGTCTTGTTGTCTCATTACAAATTCAGCTCCTTGAATATATCTTAAATAACAGTAGTAGTCACTTGGTGTTGTTTTAACTCATCATAATGAGTACCAAAACCCTCCAATAATGCAAGTCAGAATACATGGAAAGGCAAATTGACAAGTAGGACTTCAGATATTTGTTTGTGGAGTTTGAGGAACTCATTTGCAATGAGCTCATCATGCAGGTTTCATTCTTGTATGCAATCTTAAGTTATGGAATAACTTGCTTAGTGTTCTAGCTTTTCCACTTATCTTTGCAAATAATGGTTCTTGCGTCTCTTGACCAGTTTAATGGCACAACAACAAATCCAAGGCTATCAGTTTTCTATTCAGGTAAGCAGTTATATGCTATGGTAGTAAATGATCAGAACAAAAGGTGTTTGTTCTATGGAAGCACTCTACAGAAATCAATTCGCCAGGATCCATCTTGCACCACCATTGTCAGTGCCCCCTCCCAAATTAACACCACAATTCTGTACTCCCTTCCAAATTATGCACCAAAATTTCGGTAAACTGGATGCAATTGGAAACATATAAATAGTTGAAAATTTCCTTTTTTATTCTTTCTTTTCAATGCTTTTAAATGGGATAAGCTGAGTTTGTCCTTGACCAAATGAGGTTTAACTGTATCAAATTTAGATATGATTTTAGGTAATTGATGATATCAGGAAGCTGCTCAACGTGTTGGTGAAGAGCTTGTCAAGGCATGCATCGACCTTGACATAAATGAAATTTCATCATATGATCGCAATGGTCTTGCAAGAGGAGATAGAATGCGGGCATTTGAGATTGCCATTTCTCGTCATGGGTTCTTGCCACGATAACGTTGCAATATTCAGATTAATTGTTCTTGATTCACTGCTGTAGCGCAGAAAAGGGAGCCTGCATGTTTTTGCAAGTTCTCATGATTGTAGAAAGCCTTCCAAGGATCCTACATATAGTGCTTGCCTATGGATATTATATTACCTACTCGCTGTTAGCCTGCCTACTGGATATAGGTGTATCTTAATGCTTTTATCTACTTCTTATTTCAGGCCATGAATGTTCTAGCGATACACTTCTTGTATAAAACTACTCTTCTCTTCTTCTTCTTTTTTTTTGTTTTTGTGTACAAGAAGTCAAACTATGTTTATAGGCCTAGGAGGGTAGATACACTTTCCATATACGCACAATAAAAAATAGAACTACTAATTTCGTTGCAATACACCGACTACCAAGTGATCTAAAACAGAAAGTTATTGTCAGTGACAAATTGAGATGATGCAAACATATGTATGTGTCCGGGATGTCGTTGTTGCAGAACGGAGGTGCATTATAAAAACTACTAAAGAAGCGTGATATTAGTCTAAAGAAAATAATCAAACTCCTAAACTAGTTAAGAATTTTGTGTGACTTCTATCATAATGGAGACACAAAAGTACGGGAATCTATTAGATTTTTCAATTTCTTTCTGGTTAAATAGCAAGTTCTGAGTATTTTGACTTCCGGAATAAGTTTATTCTAATTGTTCTCATTTTATAACATATTCATTTGGAAAGCTAGTCTCCATCTATTTGTTTCAGATTTTGACTATGAATTAAGGTTGGATAGGGAGCAAGACCAGTTTAGTTGGTTTTTCTTTTAAAGAATCTGATCCCCTTTCCAAGGTAGATGGAGCAAAGCAGAGGCCCAAGACCAAGAGAAAGATGACAAGAGAGAAAAGATTGATAGGAACTTAACTCATCTTCTATTAAGTGGATTAAGCTATTAATTTTCTTATAGATTAGTTGTACTAATCAATTACTATAGCACATTTGTTGGTTTTTTTGGGGCATAAACTAAGAAGCAACACCTTAGTGTTACAAAAAAAAAAAGTTTATAAGAAACTTGTATTGAAACTGAAAATGAGCTTATGCTATTAATTCATCAACTCATTATTTATAGTAATTACGTGAAACAAACTAACAAAATATCGAATTAACAATTATCCTAAAAAATTTCAACAAAACACTTGATAACATAATCTCCTACTCAACAAATCTTATCTAAAATATTGGTTAACAAAGCACGTGATTTTTAGTTAACAAATATCCTAACAACAAGATTTATTTATCTACTGACTAAATTATTCTAATATCAAACATAATATAATAAAATCTGTCAAAAAAGTTGGCATATCTTAACACTTCTTCTTGTCACTTTTGCTGCAGATTTTGAATTGCTTTCTCAAAATTTTGGACCTTGTTTTGGAGAAAACTTTTATAAGAATCTCTGCAACTTATGATTAGCCTTGCAATGAACTTCTTCTTTTGGATTTTTATGCAAGCTAAAGATTAGTCTTGCAACAATCCACTCCTTTTGTCTTCTCATGCCAAACTCCAAATAAAAGATTTTTTTTTTATGTTTCCAAATAACCTTCTCATAGGTTCAAAGTGGAACACCATTCGATAATGTTTGAACTTGTACTATAACTATGAACTTCTACATAGTTCTTCATTTTGTCATCACCATCAAAACTTGTAGACTCAAAAACAAACAATATTATAATTTTGATGATAAATATCAGGAATCAATTTGATACCTCTTAACTTATCAATGATCTCCTGTTAAATTTTTTCAGAATCTGAATTCTTGATTTCATCATGCTTTACTTCAGAATTGTCAATTCATAGTGAAACTTTTTCTTTTCATTTTAATTGAGAATAAGTTATTCTCAATCAAATCATAAGCCATTATCCTTGTGAAAACGGCATCAAATGATATGTGAATGTTGGTATTGGATCTCTGTCTAACTGCAACTCTATGGTCTTTAATCTATGTATCCATCGATTTTTCAAATACTGGCGATACAAAATTTATGTCCACCATATCCCATAGATTATTGACTACCAAATAAGTCCAAAATTTAATAGTCTAAATTTGGTAAGTTTCACCACTAAAAATTGAAACATTTGACAAAAAGTTCTTTCCTATCATGACTTTGAACTTACAAAGCACTCACTCTCATAAAACAACACAAGCATTAAGACATAGGCTCTTATACCACTTTGTTGTTTTTTTCGAGCATAAATTAATAAACAACACCTTAGTGTTGCAAAAAAAAAAATTGATAACATGACTTACTATTTATAGTAATTACATGAAACAAACTTACAAAATATCTAACTAACAATTATCCTAAAAAATCTCAACAAAACACTTGATAACATAATCTCTTACTCAACAAATCTTAGCTAAAATATTTGTTAACAACCCATATGATTTTTAGTTAACAAATATTCCAACAACAAGATTTATTTAACTACTAACTAAATTATTCTAATATTAAACATAATCTAATAAAATCTGTAGAAAAAGTTGGCATATCTCAACAACATTGATTTGATTTTACTTGAAATTACAGGCATCATTAGTACCATACTACCATGTGACACTTTTGTTTGTACATTTTTTGTTTGTATCGAAATCGGACTTCTGCTAACCGTTTCTATTAAAAAGTGAAGCAGGTTTAAAGACCAGAATTGGTGTGAAATAATGTGGGAATGCAAATAAATTAATTCACGGGTTATGATAGAGAACATAAAAGCTAATTGGCAGTATATATGCTAAACTAAATTGCAGGAAAGGTAAAAGCCAATACCAAAGAGTCGAGCGGCAAAAAAAAAAAGGACTCCTACTGCTTTTGGTCAAAATTTGCTTAACGATCAAGGAAGTATGGGACGGTAAAGAAGAAAACAAAATAGCTTTGGATTGAAAATTCTAGCGTTTAATACTAATGGCACTGGCTTGTATCTACTTTTATGCTTACCCTAAAGACTTCTACTTTCATGGCCGGATTTCATAACTTGTGTCTAGTTACTCCATAAATGTACTATGCAAGTGATTAATATGATACAACACATATGCAAAATTAAAAAAATTACATTACTAACCATGAAATTAAAACTAAACTAAGGAATATTATAAGTGGCTTTTAGGATGGAACATATATGCTCATGAATTTTAAGCTGCTGCTCGGACATGCCTGTGGTATCCTTCAATAGGATTTCATAATCACTTCAAAAATTATAATTGTCTAACTTATTTGCTAAGTTTTTCATAGCTTACAGTTTTTCTTCGTTGTGTTGAATACGGTGGAAATTGAGAGTCCAACATTGATTCTGTTGATGCAGTATTTTCTTGTTGGTCGACGAAATCAAAATCCTTCCTTATCTCCGACGGAGTTTTTGAGCATCCACAACCCATACCAATGTTATAGTACCCCGATGTGTAGTGATTTCCCATATTTGGATTAAAATAAGTAGGTGGAGGATACATGGGAATTGGGTATGAAAAATTTGGTAGATTGTGGAAATATGATGGATAGTTGGAATTGGATAAATTTAGGGGATATACATAATTTTGCACATTTGTAGGAATACCAGAAAATGGGTAATTTGGGTAATTTGAAAAATTTTGGTGGTTTTGATTTTGCGAGGAGGATTAATTTTCTATATTTGGAGCATTTAACATATTTGTAAAACTACTAAAATTCTCATCCATAATCACAAACTATTGAAATTTTTTTAAAAAATTGTGCAAAGAGGTTGAGGAAAATGAGTGAGAGAGTAAAAGGAATAATAGAGTAGGATAATAAGATATGAAAAAAAAGGAATGTGTTGTGTTTATGCAGAGAATTAAAACATAACCATTGGAAAAAAAAAAAGAATGTTGCTAACTTTTCCTTGCCGGTATAAATTTTGTCCATTGTGACTTCAAAAAAATTAGACTTTTAAAAAAATTGGTCTAAAAGCACTAGCCCACCTATTATACGTATCATCAGAATGCTGCGTGGCACAATGGGTGACCGTGTAATGGACCCATGTCATGGCAGGTATTACACGCATCATTACATTCCATTGTGGATGCCCTTGTACTAACAAAACTGAACCCTCAAAGGCAGCTTTTTGATGACAAGCACATGAGAGTAGATTTCCTTGAGCAGCCTCTGGATTGTGCTTGTGGTGGTGCTGGTGCTTTTGACATTCTGGGCTACAATGGTGATGGACTAGGCAATGTGGAAGAACATATTATACTGGAAAGAAATTCACAAAATATGGGTGCAGAACTCCTCAAGGGTGTAAATATTATATTTATATCACCCCTGCTTTTACAATATAATTTCTTCTTCCCTACGCTTTCATACATTGACTACTTAACAAATGTAGATGTATTTGCTTATAAAACTTCGATCAGTAGTTTACTTCACGCACATTCATCAATGTCTTATGATCACCAGCCTCAAATGGTTATGTGAGTTAAACTTTTTAAAATATTTAACACCAGCACAACTGTGCATTGAAATGATAAAATATTCAAGAGTCTTGGAAGGTGCAACCTAGCCCAATTATTACTACTGATCAGCAAGCTCAACAGTCAAGACTTCTTCCATTCTTTTTGTTCCTAATTTTTACCTAATTTCCTTCAATGAATTCTCACATCAATCATTCCTCCCTTCATCATCTCACCATTAATCTCTCAAATTCTTCTAATAAAGTTCAGTTTTGTGCCTGAACCATATGCGCAGGTTTGATTTCTTAATCTACAATAGTTTTTGTTTTTATTATTTCTGCAATTTACTAATGTTCTAGGTTGAGATTTAAATCTAATATTGTATTTGCTTTGATTTTGTAGTTCTTATACTTTCAAAGGCAAGTACTTATCTTTCTTCATCTTTTTTTTTTTTTTTTTTTTCTCCAACTTTATTCTTAGCATTTCCCTTATATTTTGTTTTGTGATTGTATGTATTATATTTGCATTAGGGTAGTGGGGATGTACTCTACTAGATTTCTTCTTTTTTTTCCCCTTTGTATATGGAATATTATGATGTTAAAGTTGGAGATGAAAGCTGTCTTTAGAGTGTTTGACTCGATGGAGAAAGTTCCGCTGCTCATACTTTCCATTTAGCCAGTAATTCTCCTTACTGTTTGGCAACTTTCTCGATTTGATATTAATAGAAAATGAATTTCTTGTTTTCTTGGTCTCAGGCTTGTCACATTCATATACTTTGTTCAAGAAGTCAAAATTCGTTAATTGGCTAAAAGGCTAGATCACTTCTCTGAGCACTGAACGAAGGAATAGCTATTGAATTTTGTTGCTGATGCAAACGATTAATATGTACAGTTTTTGTAGAAACACCCCATCATCAACTAACCAAATAGAGCATATATGTGTGCCTCTCGGGGTGTCATTGCTCCAAAACGGGGGTAACATGAACAAAACTAGTAAGGAATTTTAGATTAACCCAAAGAAAATCATCGAACTCCTAAGTTAGTCAAGAATGTGGTGTCTTCTACCATAATAAAGAGACAGAAGTAAGCAAATCTAGTGGTATTTTCAATTTCTTTCTGGTAAAATAGTGACTACTGATTAATTTGACCTTCTAAATAGGTTTGTTCCAACTATTCTCATCTTACAAGATTTTCATTCGGTGAAGTTATCTTGATATATTAGTTTTAGAGTTTGCCATCAATTAAGGTTGGATAGAAGGAGCAAAACCAGTTAAGTTGGAGCATCATGCTCCCACTCATTTTGATCGGTTGACAAAAGCATGCTTAGGAAGAACATGAGCAACATATATACTTAATCATATGTTGAACGATAGTGATGCTTGGCAAATGCTTATGTCAGAGAGTAAAGCAGATTAAAACAGAAGATATTTGACATCCCACAAATATTTCTAGTGACTTTCATATGTAGTTCAGGTCAAAATCATTTCACTGGTCAAGCATAGTACTAATGTAGCTTAATATCTTATTCACACATTGAGTTTGATTGTAGTTTAAGCCGTTCAATATTCCCTTAACTACTGATGAATATTGTTTCTGATCAATTCTCATTTTATTTCCTGCCAACTGCCAAGTACCCTTGTCCTTGACATGTATAGCAATAGCTAGATTGTTACTACTGCTACCCTTACCCTCCTCACCTTTAACATAACTCCAAATTGCAGAGTAGCAGCAAGGTACTGGAAATGGAACAAATTCTTCACATGAAAGGAGGGGAAGATGACGAAAGCTACGCTAAAAATTCAACATTTCAACATATCAGATGAAGTCCAAATGATTTCTCTCCGGTCCTCTATATATAATTCTGTGACTAATCTCTAAATCAGTTTCTACCCTTCACAGATCAGTGTTTATGAATGTCAACCATGCACTCAATCGGAGCATTCAGGGGTTTTGTCAAGCCAACCTAGCGGAGGCAGAGTGCATAAGAGTAGCAGATCTGGGATGTGCAACGGGACCGAATACGTTGTTAACAGTTGAAAGCATTATAGATAGCATTAATAGAGAATGCCATAACTTGAACATTCTTAAGCTACCTAATATTCAAGTTTTCTTGAATGATCTCGTGTCCAATGATTTCAACTCCATTTTCAAAGTATTGCCCAGTTTTTATCAAAAACTTGAGGAATCATATGGACGTGGTTCAAGGTCATGCTTCATTGCAGCTATGCCCGGCTCTTTTTATGGCAGACTTTTTCCTGACAACTCCATGCATTTTATACACTCTTCTTACAGCCCTCATTGGCTTTCTCAGGTTCGCCAATCTCCTACTTTATTGTCTTTAACACACACTGCTATTTTGGTATTTACACACCCTCACTATTTTAATTTTCATTACTATCTATCTATCTACACCCCTGACTGCCTGATATAATTTTTACATTATTACTATTTGTAATAGTTTTTCTGGTTTTTTTTCTTGTTCTATCTACCTCTCTCCTGCAGGTCCCGAGTGGGTTGGTGACTTAGGAAGGGTTGCCACTGAACAAAGGCAATATTTACATAGGTAAAACAAGTCCTAAGAGTGTGCATGATGCATATTTGGATCAATTTGACAGAGATTTTACAAACTTCTTGAGTGTCCGTGCTGATGAATTGGTGTCTGGGGAACACTTATTTGTGACCTTGGCGACTAAAATCGATGGTCCCGTAGCATATAACGTTCAGGACTTACTTGGGATGACAATGAATGACATGGTTTCAGAGGTAATGATTCATAGACACTCAATCTCGATATACAATGTGCGGTGAAATATGATCCCATCTGGGTAAACTATACAGGGACTGATTGAGGAAAAGGCACTCGATACTTTCAACCTTCCACATTACCGGCCTTCTTTGGAGGAAGTAAAAACCATCATTGAGAAAAATCGTGCTCTTAAGATAAGGTATCTGGACACCATTCAACTGCGAGTGATTGGTGCGGAGGCGGCGGGCGGAATTTCGTATACAAACACCAATGCCAAGTACAGGGCTAGGAGCTTGAGAGCTATTTATGAACCCATCTTTCAAGCTCACTTTGGAGATGGTATAATGAACGATTTCTTTACAAAGTTGGCTGCCAATATCTCACAACATCAGGGAAAGATGAAGAGCCCTATCAACAGTCTGGTTCTTTCCCTCTCCAGAACATGAAAGCGGAAGATGTATACTTTGGCTGGATTAGGTTCATGAGCAGGCTTAAGTGTGTCGTATTGGTTTGAAAGGGGTAGAAATAGTGTCTTAACATATAGATCTAAATAGTGCATAATGCATAAACCTGTGGACCTTTTAGATTAAGATTGGCTTTGAATTTATATCCGAGCCTCCTTGGTGGGGTTTTTTTCCTTAATAGTCAGAAATAAAATGATGCGACTTTCCTTGGTGGGGATTTTTGTGATTTTAAATAAAAAAAAATTTCAAATTTTGCCTTTCTTTCCCTTCATAGCAAACATAGAATGGAGGGAAAAGAAAGGCAAATTTTGAAAATTTTTCTATTTAAAATCACAAAAATCATAGCAAACATCATACTAAAAGAGATGACTAGTTTGTTTTGTTGAATCTTGTGATCATTAGTATAATTTTGTTGCTTATTTATGTTGTTAGTTCATTAAATGTGAACTTTTTGATTGGTGAAATGTGTATATTAATTGTTTCTAACTTTTAATTATTTTTATTCTTTTACTATTACAACTTATATACATGCATAAGGAGTATTTATAAAATCAAAGTTTCATCTCTCTCCTTAAAGTACTTTTTTAATGTTACTTTTTCTAAATTGATTAATTTTGTTATTAAAACTTTAATCTCAAGAGAGGTTTGTGTAATTATAAAAACTTTAGAAGAGGCTAGTAAAATTGTTAGAAACCTCCGGGGAGGTTTATGAAATTATCCCTAAAGAAAAACCAAATGCCTTGGACAGCCGGAAGAGGACCGGTCAGGATTTGGTTTGACAAACTGAGGAAGGAGAAATTTTCAGCGAGCTTTTGAAGTCATTTGAGGCAAGTCTTGTAAAATTCAAACTTATTTAGCCCTATTTTTATGAACTCGTGATTGGTTGAAACCTAAATCAAACTCCCCAAAGCATGGTCAATTAAGTAGTTCAAAAGCTGAAAGCTCTAGGTCACATTAAAACCTCAAATCTTATCTCTCTGTAGGCCAAGCTAGAGTAATATATATATGCATTCTAGCCAGCTATCTGGGTGACAATTTTAGTATAGTAAAGACTTTTTACATGCCTACAATCCAACAGCTAGCTACTGGTATTCTTGCCGTCTCATCTTCATACTTTCAATGCTTCCATTGATATGAGATCCATATTCATGAGATTGACAAAGAGCAATCCAGACAGCTTAAACTGGAACCAAGATCAACCAAATTGGCTACAGGTCTCAGCCATGCCAGCTAAATGGTTCCTTCATATGCTTTCCTTTGTCTCAAGCAAATCAGATCAGAAGAAACCTGCAAAATACATGAAAGGTCGCATATGTGTGTGAAAGACATGCCAACTTTGAGAGAAACAAAGTAAACCTTTAATCCATCGAGACTGCATTCATACACTTTAACTCGAAAGCTGCTGCTTCCTACATGTTCCAACAAAGCCTATTAGACACTGATTGTCTTCAATATTGATACAGATATTGGATAAAGAGTTGACAATGAACAAAGAACACTGTTAACAATTGGTAATGGAAAGATGATCATTCCAAATAATTACTAGATGAACCAAAAATGGAATTCAAAAATTAGCGAGGGCAATAAAATTTGCATATTGTCAATGTTAATAGAACATGAGAATGAAAGCTATATGTCTATGTAAAACTCGGAAGAATAGTGAGATGATAATCCTTCCTATGCTTACAAAGTGAGGTTCTAATCTTAGCTAGTTTGGCATAATAACCCAAGGAAAAAAGTCATGATTGATATTCATGTATTATAATTCAAAACAAATAATCAACGGATTTAGCCTCTAAGTGCTTTCTTTTGAGCAAACTGATTTCTCCTAGTACACTAAGATATTTAGGACAAAAATGGACTAGTAAAAGATAACCTTTTTCAGAAAGAAGCAGCAAAAGAATGCCGCAATTCTATAAATGTCGGCAAGTAGTTTCCTTCTTCCTTGAATTTGTTAAGAGTTAATTGCCAACTTCATTTCAATGGCTACGCTGAAAAAATGCTCATCTAACCTTAGCAGAATAGACTTGTGGCACAATATCTCTATCAAGTGGAATGAAGGACCTTGAAAAACTTCCTTGAGTAACATTTACTATTGGTCTTCACAGATGTCAGATATTTTAAAAGAGTTTCTTGGTAAAAATTCTTAGGTCTACTTATCTTTCTTAGCTAAAGCACAAAAAAAAATGCTACTTGAAAAGCACCTATTTATTGCTTATTTAAGTTAAAATTTTCTAATTTTCTACTATTCAAATAAAAAAAAAAGTTAAAACCCAACAAGGTATTATGGTAAATATATGTTAGTTTACCTTGACAAATTCAACACCTAGCTAGGTTGGACACCCGGAATAATCAACTGTTAGCACAAGTGCATCATGAATCTCTCTTATTTTTGGGTGGAAAGGTATAGTCCATTGTCCAATTCAGAAAGGCATTGCATGATCTAGCGGCAGTGCTTCATTGAACCTTTGAACGAGGACTTAGAAACCCTTGCATGTGAATACATATTCTTGCAGCACATAATCTTTGAATTTCTTCCATCCCACTACATGCTTTGCTTTTGCTTTTGCTTTTGCTTTCCAGATGACTGTTACTGCTATCTTCAACATCTAGCTTCCATCACCAAATCTTCTCTTCTTCTAAACCAAATTACATTTCCAGTAGATAGATAAAGAAAAAAAAATCGAACCAGGCTAACAAAAAGTTTAGTCAAATCATTACCTTCATTTCTGCATTCCGAGCACTACAGAACATAACACTTTCAGTTTTTCTACGTGGTGTTTGAGAAGCCTCCATCAATGCTAGTGCAAATTAATGAGCAAAATAACTATAATTGATGACCATCTTCATCTGCGAAACTTGCCTGCCGAGTGACAGTAATTTCTTCCTTTTGACATTCTCACAAAAACGACAGGGAACCATGTTCTTCTTTTTCCAACAAGATGATGTCTGCTTCCTAAATAGATTCAGGAAAAAAAACATCACCATGTTACATTACAGTAATATTAAGTGCAAAATTAGCCACGTTGAACCATCAAAACTTATGAAGAATGTATTACAAAAATTTCTAAAGAGCAAAAATTAAGTAGAATTACATCGATTAAGCCATCAAAAACGCACATTACATTCAGAGCATAGCTATTGTATGTGATTGATTTGAAGTTATGGCAACAGCAACAGAAACATAGTAGGCCGTTAAATTTAATCCACTGAGACTACATACCTCTTCATTTACTCTGTCACATATTGCTTTCTAGAAGACTGATCTTCACTCCTTAAGAGAACAATTGTCTACCACATCAACATCCATACATTTTTGCTTGGAAACCACTGCTTTGTACATGTTCCAACATTGCCCATGAGACAATTGTCTAAAATGCTAAAATAGATATTTCTATAAATATTTTATCATGAGCAAGTAAGTCCTTATGCAAGTGATGGAAAAAATCACCAATCTACTAGATAACCAAAAATGAAAGGCTAAAAAACAGAGCATTAACAAACCAAAAGGAAGTAATGGTAGCAAAAGTCAATTGAATTTGCATAAATTGTCCTTGTGATTCTTTCTGAAAAGAAAGTGATGATCAAAGCTAAATGTTTAACTAAATGTTAAAGGAAGAGTAAGATGATAATCTTTCCTCTCTTTCTAAAACGACGTCTTAAACTAGAGTTTGGCAAACTAATCTGAAGAAAAAAATGAAAAATTTATATTCGTGTACTAGCATTCATAAATTCTCTTATTAACTTCTTTTAGCCGACTGATTTCTCCTGACCAACTAAAATCTTTGGGCCAAACAAAATCAGAAAAGAATAACCGTTTTAAAAAAGAAATAGGTAATGGATGTCAATATCTTTTCAGTGTTGGCAAGTTGTTTCCTTCTTCCTTCAGTTCTTAAGAGTAATTTATCAACTTCCATTGAATGAGCATGCTGAAACATGCTCATTTAACCTAACAAGCAGATACTTTGTGATAGAGTACCTGTAATTAGGTGAAACCATGTTGGAGAACTTCATGTGAAACATTTAACATTGATTTCCCACCTTCATTAGCCTTCTGAAATGTTACATATTCCAAGTGGCTCCTTAATAATTTTAAATTATTTTTAGATTTGATAGTCTTTCTTAGCTAAAACATAACAAATAGAATGCTACAATAACAAAACCTGTTTATTGATCATTCAAACTGCAATTTTTTTGATTGTGACTATATATCTTGAAGTAGACATGTCAAAATAATTTAGTTAAGAACCAAGAAGGTATTTAGGGTACGTTATTTTACTAAAACAAATTCAACACTGAGCATGGTACCTGGAATGACTAACTGTTAGCACAGTTGTATAATGAGTGTCTCTTGTTCTTGAGCAGAAAGGTATAACCTATTGTCCAATTTACAAAGGCCTTGCAAGATCTGGCGGGAACCTTTGAACGAGAATGTAGAAATTTTTGCCGCTGCAATTGCAGCACCAAAACTTTGAACTGATTCCATCCAAATGAACGACTGACACTGCAATCGCATGCTTCGTTTATGTCATCCAAACGATCACCAATGCTGTCTACAATGTCTAACTTCTTTCCATCAAATCTTGTCACCTATGGAACTAAAGTATTAACACGTCCAGTTTTCTTCAAGCAAGTCTTGTACCTTGATAGCTCTCCAGTACCAACTACCATGCTCTTCTCTAATTCTTCTCAATCCATACTACTTTCTACAAGCCTGGCACAAGCCACTCTGTTTTCAGCATGCTACAAGGAGAAAAGGTTCAATATTTGATTTATTTTGTTAAATACTTCCAGAAAATAGACAAAAAAAACAAAAAAGAAAAGCCATTGAAACAGGCCAATAGACATGCAGTCAACATTTTTTACCTTCATTTCCACATTCTGAGCAATATATGGCATTCTGGTGGGAAAAATCACAGATAACTACCTTCCATCTTCAAAAACTGACTGATAAGTGAAAATAACTCCTCCCTCTTGACATTCTCATAAGAACAACACGAGAACCTTGGTGTTCTTTGTCCAAAAAGCATGATCTCTACTTCCTAAACAAATTCTGGAAAAAAAAAATCATAATATTATGTCACAATGCTGCTTCAATTATGACATTAAATTGAAACATGAGCCACGGAAAGGTTTGGTCTGGTAACAATTTATCACTCAAAATCCTAAACAGTCAACAAATTAAGCTAAATTCCATTGATTAACCCATAAAGAAAATACACTAGTGCAGATACCACCCGACATTTAGGCACAATTACATGAATCAAACATACTTGCAAAATTGGACCAATTCCCTTGTACTTCTAGTAAGTTGGGTGGAGAAATTTCCAAACCACATACCTCCTCATCTTTCTTCAAAAATGATTGGAAACCACAGCTTAATGTTGCAGTTGGAGAATGTGAAAAGTGCAATAAGATGCTTTAGAGGTTCCAGGCTGACTTTGCCTCGAGCACACTTTTGAGCCTTTCGCAATGTTTTCGGCACTATCACTGCTTGCTGCTTCACTGACACTTGTGGCCTACAATGCCATAATGTTATGGCATCTGAATTTTAAAAATTTTAAAAGATGATAAGAATTTATAGTTTTAGCAGCAGCCTAGTTCCTCTGCAAACAATTTCAACTTGATCGACATTGAGCTAATTTTATGGCAATCATAATGCAGAGTCTTACAGAGAGATAACAGTGAATATTAAGAACATATCCATCTATTAAATGCCAGCGGTAAAAATAAAAATTGTAGTGTTCTCCCCAAATTGCTATTTCATTGGTTTTAATGTTGTTTGGAAATATCAGTGACAAAAAAAATAAGAACATACCCATTGAAGCTGAATGTTTACGCTTGCAATGTTAGTAAATTTCGTGGACAAATAGTCAGTACCAAGTTCACATTTAGTAGTGAATTTTACCATGCTTATTAATCCTTTTGATGGTTTAGAAAAGTAGATGAAATCCACAATTTCATTGTCTTTCAATTTGCTCGTAACTCTACTTTGTTAATGACAAGAATTAGTTTATAAATTGAAAGAGAGAGTAATCTTCACCAGAAGAAGTAGAGGAATACGGATAGAATAAGATGGTGAAGAACAGCAATATCCAATAATGAAAAGCAATTAATCAAAAATTTGCAGTGAAATCTTACCCGATGGCTCAGAAAGATGACTTTTAATCAAATTTCAAGTTTTGGAATATTAGAGATCTTTGGACACTCGGAGCCGCTTTGAGGAGTGCATCTTCGTTTTAATAGTGGACAATAACTAATTTCCAGACGTCTTAATTTGAGGCGTTCCATGGCATCTAAGGAGGGTAAATATTCAAGCTTTGGGCAACCCAACAGAATTAGCTCATCAAGAGACGCAAAATTCCCAAGCCAATCTGGTAAGGCCTCGATTGCTCCGAAGTAACGTAGAGATAGTGATGTGATGGTAGTCAAGCATTGAAGCTGGTGTGGCAGAGATTTCGTGTCACGCATCCCATACAAATACACGTGCCGGAGTGTTGATGAAGATGCTAATCCAGCCCAATCAAATTCGATTACTGAGTAATCTGAGAAGGGACCAATCGACACTTCCCTTAAGCTGGTAAGATAGCCAAATCCACTAGGCATCTCAGCAATCCAGTTGGGACACCCACATAACGAGAAGCTCACGAGAGAAGGGGTTCGTCGCAAATCAAGGGGAAAGGAGACCAGACTGCGGCACTTGAACAATGTCAGCTTTCGGAGAGACGTACAGGACTCGAACATCTCCGCTGGTAATCTTGTTAATTCATCGCACTCATCGATAGTAAATCGCTTAAGAGACTTAAGGAGGCCTCTCTGTCCAAATGAATTTTTAGGATTTGGATGTCCAAATGATTTAATTCTCGAGCAACCCTGTATCTCCAAGTCCTCTAAAGTTTGAAATTGATAAAGATCTTCTGGCAACTCCCGTAAATTCTCACAAAAAGTGACTGTCAATCTCTTAAGACAAGCGGCGCAACTCATTCTTCTTAATGTTGTTATATTATGGGCAGACATCAATTCTACATGCTGAAGAGTTGGAAAAAGACAGAGTCGCTCAAGCATGTCAGTGGGTAGACTGTGACAGCCATCAATACTCAAGCTGCTCTCTGGTCGTTTCACTAATTTTAGAGACTTGATGCATTGACCACCACGATCCCATAAGTCACCCCTTAAGTCAAGGGACGAGAGATTGGTTATATTGCTCAAAACCTTTTCTGCCACCAAAACATGGCAATTCCTTTTTATTTCCAATACATCAAGACTTGGGAAACGACTTGGAGTTGGAATGGTGGTCAGTTGGGGGCAACCCCAAATATACAACTTTTCCAGCACGGGAAACACATCCATCACATGTACTTCACCTGCGGTTGACATCATTTCGTGTGCGTCCTTCCACTCTTCCAAATTTTTCATGCCTTTAAGCCAGAGAATTTTAAGGGCTGGAAAGAATGTTTGTCTGCTAATAGTGCTTGAACCTCCTGATCCGCCGTCCTCCTCAGCACTTGTACTGTAGAATGAAAGCCCAATGCATGTTGTGTTTTTCAATCTAGTCAGATAGAGGCGCTTGAGGAATGGCAGCTGTCCTAGCGCAGGGAGCTTTCTGCATCTTGTGCACTCCTCCACCCGCAACTCCACCAGTGATGTCAATGTCAAATTCATGAACCATTGTGGAAACTGATCACCCATGAACTTCAAAATTTGTAACTCTTTTAAATTTGGGTGAGGTTGGAGGCCTTCCAACACATCTTCATCACAATTATCACTTTCTCGATCCCTATTGCCCCACTCAAATACCAACCGATACATATTTGGCTTTTTAGATAGGTTCGCTAGTTCAGCATCATCTTTGCCATTTACTAATTCAAGATTTCTGATCTCCAAGGAGCCTCTAAGATCTTGCAAGGTTCCAAGTTCTTGGATACCACGACCTTCCTCTTGACGACCTATGTTAAAGAACTCTAACGTTTGAAGACAAGTCCATCGTCCAATCCCGGATGGCATTTGGATTTCACGTCCTGTATCATCATCATCATCATCATCATCATCATCATCGCATCCTGTATCATCATCATAGTGAAGATGTCTCATGCTAATCAAATTGCTCATCTCCTTTGGAAAACCGTCTACAAGCATGCCAATTCTCAGTGTTTGCAAACTATAAAGTTTGCAAAGAGATTCTGGCAAAGTTCTAATCCTAGAACCTGAAATGTCAAGTAAGTGTAAATGTATTAGTTTGCCAATGGAGGTCGGCAACGCTTTGACATCTGCTCCAAACAATTTTAGGACATGTAAGTGTTTGAACTTTGATAACATATCATCAGCTATGCCACCCTTCAGAAATAATGTGCGAAGTGATGCTGATGCTTTTTCATTGATTCTTTCGGGTGAGTATACCGCAAGGTAACGGTCCTGATTGCTACCGTTACGATTCAAAATTGATTTTGCAAAATCATGCACAAGGTCATGCATTTTATACCATGTTCCCCACTCATTTTTTACTTCTTCCAATAAGGAAGTTTGCAGCAAAATTCTCAAATACTCATATCCTATTTTCTCCATCATTCTTTCATTTTGGGAATCCGGTTGAAGAAAGCCTTCAGCCATCCAAAGCTCAACTAGTCGATCTTGTTCCAATCTAGTATCTTGGTGGAAAATTGAGCAATATGCAAAACATTTCTTAACCGGTACAGGTGACAGATGATCAAAACTCACCTTAATTATTTGCTCGATCCCACCCTGATCTCCATTCAAGAGACTCTCCTCCAAAATAGATGGCCACTCCTCTTTTCTCTTTTTAGATAACAAACCTCCGATTAACTTTGCTGCCAGAGGTAGACCGTCACATCTTCTTAAAACTTGGTGCCTCATGTCTTCCAATTCTTTTGGTACTTCTTCCCCTAAAGTTGCCCATTTTTTAATGATAGACCAGCAATCATCATTGCAGAGCTTTCCTAGCTCATGGCGAGTAAAATTGATCTGCGGATGTCTAGACAGAATAATTGCCACTTCTTGCAGACGAGTGGTAACAAGACACCAGCTCCCTTTCTTCGCATTGAGTCCCGCCAAAGTGCTGAAAAAGTCATTCAACAATACTTCTTGATCATTCCACAAATCATCAAGAACAAGGAAATATCTTTTTGCCTTGAGTTCATCTTGAATTTTTTGAACTATAACCTCCCTACGATCCCCTTCAACCTTTCCTCCTGTTAACGATTCAAGAATCATTTTGAAGACCTTCTCGATTTTATCTACTTCTTCAGCCACACAAACCCAAATTTTTTTGTCAAAATGTCCAACAATTTGTTCATTTTTGTAAACGGCTTTAGCTAGAGTTGTTTTGCCTAATCCACCCATGCCAGTTATGGGAATAACTGAAATAACACTTTCAGATTCGGTCAACAACTTCTTAACTATTTCTGATTCATCCTCGTCTCTTCCTAGGACATCTCCTCGAACGATAGTAGAGTCGGTCTGTCGGCTTGTTGTGGCTCCAGAAGCAATAGTAGGGAATGCATCTTCAACTTGGTGCTTGTAGGCCAGTCCCAAACCTTCTGCATCCCGATGGATCCTTTGAAGGTTCGTGTTGATCTCCCTGATCATTGAACCCAACCTCCAACGAAAACCAATTTTATTAAAGAATGAAAAGCAGAAGAATACCTTCTTTTTCGTGAGTTGATTTCGATACTTCACCTTCCGACGAAGATTTTCACAGTTGAGCTCGTCCAGCACATTGTCAGCTTTGAAAACCTCTTCTTCCAGCTGCTTGAGCCAAATTTTCACGTCTGAGCTATGCATTTGCTCGTCGGCACCAGCCAAGAAGCCTCGAATCATTTCAGCAGATTTGTTGAGTCTCTCCAGCTCCGTTGGGAATTCACGAACCAGATTAACATGATCAGCGGCAAGGGAAACAACCGACTGCAATGCAACCTGAATAGTAGCACTAACAGCAGCATCAGCCATTTTTTCTCGCTTGGGATTGGAATTAGGATGAAAGTGTTCTGCAATGGTGATCCGACAAGGAAGGATATGTCAACTTCAGCAGCTATCAGAGGGAATGAAATTTGCAAGTCGACTTTCAAATTTGTCCGCCTTTGCAAGTGGACCACAAATACACTCTAAAGACAGCTTTTAGTAGGTGTCCGTGATTTACGGATCACAGCCTCTGTTATCAAAGGAAGTTGCCGACAATTGCATGTGTGAGCCAACCTGCTTGACTCACATTTCTTATTGCGAGACAGCAGGCTCTCTGATTCCCTTATCACAATGCAGTAAGAAAGCAGGTACTAATATAAAATTGCCTTTAACTCAATTGTTAGGCTTGTAGCCACAATCATCTCATACAATCTGCATACAGACAAGCATTTCTATCTGTCGTACAACAAATATACGTTCTCCAAGTGTAAAAATCCAACTAATTAACCTTTTAATCCTAGCTCTGCATCCCATCCCAGCATCAAGCTATCAATTTTAACGGATACCACCTCACAAGAACTGGATATTCTGCAGTTATGGGAAGTTCATGGCCTTTTCTGCTTGTCATAAATCGTCTCTAACCATTTTTAGTAGACAATAGAATAAGAATCAAGTATTTTTTACATCTACTCAGAAACTTGCGAAGTGCACAGTGTTGTATGCCCAAAAATTAAAACTTAAGTTAGAGGTAATTGAAATTCAAAATCAGCTCAAATTTAAAAGACATAGAAAGCGACCGGAAGAGATCGGGAAGAAATTAAAACCATGCAACTCTGTTAAATTCGTAAGACGACTTGCCTGATTAAGTTGCAGAAGACCAACTTGGTAAAACTCAGTAGCCACCATTCTTCGCCAGTCTTGATTTATACTATGCATCCTCTAATCACATGGTAGTCTTGATCAGTAGCAGGGAGGAATAGCATAATTATTAACTCTTTAAATCCGTCAACGGGAGAAGATTTCTTAAATATTCCGAGAAATCTCGGGTAGCTGTTTCATTTTTGAAAAAATTTAATGAAGTGGACTTTGTCTCCTTGAATTTGAGGACCCAATAATTATTCATCTTGAGCGTGATCTGAAAGAAATGAACATTTGACTCATATTTACCAGTACCTGATTTTCTCAACTTGGCCAATAATTAATGGCCAACCAACATTTTCTTTTTCTTTTCTTTTTGAACGTAGTCAACATCTTGCAGCTCCCGAACAAGACTGCAAGTGCAAGACTAGTTTGCAAGGACCCATTCAAAAAATATAAACTACACAAAGTGCTTACCTGTATGATACAGTATTGACTGACTATAGGCTTTGTGCTGATATCACTTTAAAAATGAAAAGCAAAAGAGACCTCTTTCTTGATTTTACTGATCAAGTTAAGAGGGTCCCATTCTTCTAATATTGATGGCCAAAACATATCAGTACAAGTTGACAGAGTACTCCCTGAAGAGTGCTAAAGTTCTTCAAAGACTGGAAATTGGATTTAAGGCATCCTGGAAGTAGCAGAAGAATTATTTGGAAAATTATGTGGGCTGCCCATTCCTTCAAGATGTACCAAATTGTCTGGCAAATTAAATAAGGTCGCTGGGAGAGGATAACAACATAAAAAATTAGCAGGTGGTGGAGAGACTAAGAGGGACTGTTGAATATATTCACACATAATAAACTAGGATTTAGACTCAGGTATGCCACATTTGCAAAAGAAGCCCAAAAAGAATTCTCATATATACAGTATCATGGCTATATCTAAGCAATTTATACAGTTTATAAGTCTCAAAGAAAATAGCAAAGTGAATTTAGGATAAAAAGCCACTAAAATCAGTGGTTACGTATATTGTCCAAGACTAATGATTTGATTGTTGATCTCTACACATAAATGCCTGGGCTCCTCATGTGCATTAAGTTCAACAACTGCATTCGTTCTAGATTCCGGAATGGAAATTATATATCAACTGAATTTTATCAAGTCATACCTTTGTACTAAAAAAGCTATAGAGAGACAGTATGAAATTAGTATTATCGGTGATCCATTTGGATGGGTTCCTAAACAAAAATTTTTATTCCGACACATGCATGACTAATTTTACTATAATAGCATTAAATTCATGAGGGTTTGTTTTGGTGTGATTATGAAAAAAAATTCAGTAGGTCTGAATGTTAGAACCAACTCATTTGCATGCCTAGAATCCATGTTAACTTCAAAATAACAAGGAGATATGTAAATCATCTCAAACTTCCCAAGCAATTGCATGCAATCCAAAATTTAAAGGGTATTTCTTTTGGGTGTTCTGTGGCCTGCATAAATCATACAAAGTAACATATTGACTTATTGTTTGAGTGCATTCCGCCGACTAAGTGTAAAATCTTCTGATTTCTATAGTTTCTTCAAACAGCATGTGGCAATTATTGTTAGGCTTTCACCCAAAATAGTCGAGGAGATTTATGTATTAATTTGTTTTAACTGAAGAACACTAAATCACAACAGGATAAAATGAACTAAAAATAATAATTCACCAACAGAAATATAATCAAAATCATGACATGTTTAAGTGAGGGATACAAACATGAGAATTTCTAAAATTAAGGAAGTAAACCATTATTTAGTTTGTGTTTATCATATAAGTTGTATGTCGTTTGATATAGGATCTTCTTAAAAGTAAATCATTCTAATGGTGCTGATAAAATTGGAGTACCATAAGTAATATACTGCTTTACGTGCAGATTCACCACTTTCTTTGTGATACACAAGAAACAAGCATAGTCGTGTACAATACAATACCAACATTCTATTGGAAGTTCAGAGTGGTACTTCAGGCATTTGTATGACAAGCTGACAAGCCAGATCCCCTAGCGCAGTTCATCAATTTGTCTGTGTACAATTTAATACCAACATTCTGTTGCAAGTTCAGAATTCAGAGTGGTAGTTCACGCATTTGTATGTCAAGTTGAGAAGTAGCAGATCCCCTAGTGCAGTTCATCAATTTGTCTGTGAAGGAAAAACGATCCTCAAGCGACATGTGCAACTTTGGATGTATGGCACATGATAAGTGTGTATTTTACATGTTTTTAGTGTGTTTTATTAATTAGTTTTGATGTGTTTTAATTATTTTTATGACTAATGAACTAAGTTTTTAGTGAAAATATACATTTTATGATTTAAGTATTAAAAATTGTATTTTTATGGATTTTAATAGTGAAAGCTGCATGTTTTTGTAGGTTTAAAAATTCAATCATCAAATAGAACGAGTTAAAAAGATAATTGGATGATTGATGATGGTTTGAAGTGGTAAAAAGAGAATATGAAGTGCAAGAGATGAAATGCAACTTGGTATACAAGAAGGAAGTTTCACAGTTTTGATACCCTGTGGTATTTTGCCTATATCTTGAGCTATAAGTATCAGATTGAAGTGATTCTTGTACCATTTTTGAAGTTAAGAGATAGATTTCCATTTGCTATGAGAGATAGAAGTCCAGTTTAGTCATTTTCCTAGTCAAAACATCGAAATACAGAGGTACATTTTCATGGTCGAAAGCTAAAATAGAGCTCTGACCAGTCGAGGGTATTTTGGTTATTTCTCGGTCCACAGAGCTCCACATTGAATGATTCTTGAGGCATTGGAAAGTTAATTCACTTTCATGTTTTGTTCAAGAGCTAGTTCAGCCTCCATTATTGAGGAAATATTAGTTGAAGTTGGATAAAAAACAGAACAAGGATGAATTCTGCCTAGAAAGTGCAAACTTGCAAAAGGTAATACGTGGGATACAATAGGTTGCGTATTCTAGGTTCTCTGCTACAACTTGTTTTGCATTCACACAACCTTTTTGACTCATCTACAACTTAGAAGTTCAGCTGTATCTAACCAAGAAGAGTGTGGAAACTTGGAGAACAACTCTTGGTGAGTTCAAAAGCCAACTTTGCCAACCAAGAAACAACTTATCTTGAACTTGAATTCTCTATAAATAGCAGCCTTTGGAGACCATTTTAAAAACTTTAGAAGGCTAGAGAAACTCATCAAAAATGTAATCTTCATTAGAATTTCCTTAATTCATTAGTTAGGTTAGTATAGTATAGAATACTTTAGCTAGTTATGTGTGTTATCCACTCTTGTATATTGGCTAGATTAGAATGAAGATGGAGATGAAGAAAGAGGGGTCGAAACTCATGTGACAAGGGTTATCTCTTCTCCAACTCTTTATCTTTTGTATTAGATTCTTAAGTATGGTTAATATGCAAGTTTTGGATTTGTGTTTCAATATGTGTTTCTAAAGTTTATGCCTAGAGTATGGATGAACTTGCTATATTTTATTAGTGATGTTTACTTTGTTATTTAGTGATATTATTTTGAACAAGTTATTTGTCACTTTTGCTTAACTAATCATGATTAACTGGCCATTAATTGGGATAATCTTAAGATGTTAACTTTGCAATGAGAATTGAAATTTAACACTAGTTCAAGGAAGTGATAAATCTAGAGAGTTCACTCATGAGAGTAGAGGAACACCTATGTGGCTTTGGTGACTTGTTTCTTATAATTTCATAGAAAAAATGAGCTTTAGTTAATTTCATAACCATGAGAGTAGGTATGGCTTAATTACAAGTATAGTTGATTCACTACGGGAGTAGGTTTCGCATACATTAGAAAATTATGCCATAATTAGCCAAGATAATAGCATTCACTTAACCGGTAATATCATTTGCAAGAGTAGTAAGGAATTCCATATCTCTAGGAGATTTCTATTGAATTTTGTTACATTTATAGTGTAGATTTAATTTCTTGTACTTGTGATAGTTTAAATAATAAAGGAGTTAGAAAATCACTGGTAATTGAAACTTTTTCCTGTGGGATCGACACCTAATACCCCTATACTCAATAAACAACTCATATATTTGCAAAAAATCACGTGTGGCGTATTTAATATTTTATAAATGTTCTATGGATGGGCTAATTATTTTGTATACCTCGCACTCGTCAAGTTTTCGGCGTCGTTGCCGGGGAGGATTTGCTAAATATTTTTACTTGTTTTTCGTGTTTTTGT